ATTTCCAATCATAAATATCTTGATAATCAGACAGGCATTCGGCTTGTAAAAGTCACAGAATTCTTGCCTGACCTAAGGATTTGTAATTACTAGCAGAATTCCCCATCGGTGTAGGCCTATGATAATGATGGGGTATGCCGGGTGGGGGTTGGATGAAACAAAATCACAATCCTAATGTCTTTTTTAAATTTTACCTGTATTGACTGACCTTTCATCAAATAAATGATCCGGGAATGATCAAATGGATAAATGAGCAATTAAAATTAAGCTTTAACCAATTGCTGGGGGGGGGGGGGGCACTTGGCAGATTTGGTTCCGACGGAGCTGGGCGTTGAAGCCGCCAAACCTGTATCCAATTTTAAGGGTCATTTTGGCGGAAAAGGGTACCTATTATCGAGGGGGGGTTTCATCCACACAAAATATGTGTATCTTAGCGACAAAATTGGCATCAAGTCTAAAGAGTGAAATTACAACATCATATCCCATGGAAAGGGATTTTTCGGCCCATGAACCATACCCCATGTTTAGGGATTTTTGATGAAAAAGTCACCCATTACTTAGAGCGGCACATCCCGTTTACCTTTTAAGGTTCAAAAGAAAATCGTTCAAAAATCACTCCTTATAATCAACATATTTATTTGTACCTAAAGCCGTTAAAATCAAGTGTCCAGATACACAACCTGTAGGCCTATAGGTATAAACAGGCAAATAATCTATTTCGATTAAGTGAGATTTTAAAACCATTTTGAACCATGTCGGTTAATTTGCCTACGACCCTCATGACACACAATTATACACAAATTCAAAAATAATTAGTAACAAGAAATCCCCGGCAAAATCTTTGAACTGGTTGGTTCGTTTGCCAAGCATATAATCATGTAATTTAATTCCTCTCAGATAAGCACGGACAACTATTGCACATAGTCCTATACACTTGTGTGATTGCCATGCCTAATCTCCATGCAGAGATTCGATAAGAGCTGTACGCTCACGTGACGTGCCGACCCGCAGTTAATGTTTATGGAGCACGTTGCATGCATTGCATGTGACGATCGAATCCCTGCGTGTGCGCTGATCCTCATTGCACCCCTGTGCCTACAAGGCATTCCTACTCCCTGTTGGATCAGCGAATGGATACTTACATATTTTAAATTTAGAACCCCAAAATAGACAAAATTTGTTAAAATAAACCTCTCCATGGCAATCTGGAGGTTTTAAAACTGTGAATGGACAAAATTCCAAGGTGATTCGGCGGCCGGTCACGGAGAAAATTGCCGTCAAACAAACGGAAGGACATACAGACAGACACACACAAAATTAGCCAAATTATAGGAAGGATGATTGCAGCATGAGCTAAATCCAGGATTTTGCTTCAGAATCTGAGGCAATGATACCGAGTCACTTTAATACAAGCAGAAAATGAGAGAAACAGTTCAGTGAAAATTTAGGCAAAAAATGATTAAAAAGTAGAAATATCGCAATCTGTATTGCCGCGCAATGCGAATGTATCCCCCAGCAGTGGCAGTGATTTTGTGTCATCCTTATGTTCGAAGGAGGGAAAAAGATCCCCTCTCTCCTTCCTAAAACAAAAGGATGACATAAAGATCGCCACTAGTGGCTCAGCCTTTTGTCAAGATATGAAACCAAAATATGACCTTTGACCCTATAACAGATGGAACACATGTGGCAGCATCACCAAACACTAAAGATGTGTAGATCGTACCAAGACACACCTCCATACAACATTTGAAAGAAATCCGTCAAGAAAGGTGGCAGTTAGAGTGCATAAAAGACATATGACCTTTGACCATATAAAAGACGGAACAACGAGGGCAGCATCGCCAAAAAGTGAAGATGTGTAGATTGTACCAAGATACATTTCCATTCAAAATTTGAAAGAAATCCGTCATGAAATATGACCTGCAGAGCGCACACTAGACACCCACCAAAATATAAACTTTTGACCCTATAATACAAACAACACTGGTGGCAGCATGACCAAAAACTATAGGTGCATAGATTTTACCAACATACACTTCCATACTCAATTTTAAAGAAATCTGTAAAGAAATGATGTACTTAAACCGCACACTAGAGTGTGCACACAAGACATCTATCAAAATGTGACCTTTGACCCTATTAAAGATGGAACACTGGAGGCAGCATCACCAAAATCTATAGGCTTGTAGATTATACCAAGATACACCTTCGTTCAAAATTGGAACAAAATCCCTTGAGAAATGTGGCCTATACCCTATAGTGCACACAAACCATCCACAAAAATTTAACCTTGTACCCTATAGGAGACGGAACACTGGGGGCAGCATCCCCAAAAGTTATAGGCGTGTAGATTATACCAAGATACACCTCTATACAAAATTTGAAAGAAAACTGTTGAGGAATGATGCAGTTAGACCACACACTAGAGAGTGCACACAAGACATCTTTCAAAATATGACCTAAGTTGACCCTATAAAAGACGGAACACTGGAAGCAGCACCACCAAAATCTACATCTTCATTCAAAGATCAGCACAGTGTTGGTAACAGTTTGTGTTTCAATGATGACAACTTCAACTAGATGGAATTCGACTGCGCGCAGTCGAAAATGATGCCTCCGTCATAGAGCAATTTTACCAACCAAAACAGAAGAAATTTTTCAAATTCAAGTTCATTTGTAATCCATTAACAGGTTCTCCAAATATCGTAATTACAAGCTATTTTTGCATACATAATGAGCCATGACCTTTGACCTCATGACCCAAGAATCTACTCGGTTCATTGGCTCTGCAAGATACATACATGATCTAAGTTTGGCAGGAATCCATCAATCTGTTCTAATGATAATGCGATCACAAGCCATTTTTGCATACATAATGAGCCACGTGACCTTTGACCTCATGACCCCAAAATCTAATCAGTTCATCGGCTCTGCAAGTAACATACATGACCAAAGTTTGGCAGGAATCCATCAATCTGTTCTTGAGATAACGTGATCACGAGCTGTTTTTGCATATATAATGAGCCCTGTGACCTTTGACCTTTGACCTCGTGACCCCAAACTCTAATCAGTTCTTTGGCTCTGCAAGATAAATACATGACCAAAGTTTGGCAGGAATCCATCAATCTGTTCTTCAGATAACGCGATCACGAGCCGTTTATGCTTACATAATGAGCCCTGTGACCTTTGACCTTTGACCTCGTGACCCCAAAATCTAATCAGTTCATCGGCTCTGCAAAATAAATACATGACTAAAGTTTGGCAGGGATCCATCGATCGGTTCTTCAGATAACGCGATCACGAGCTGTTTTTGCATACATAATGAGCCCTGTGACCTTTGACCTTTGACCTCGTGACCCCAAAATCTAATCAGTTCATCGGCTCTGCAAGATACATACATGACCAAAGTTTGGCAGGAATCCAGCAATCGGTTCTTCAGATAACGCGATCACGAGAACGGGACGTACGGACGTACGGACGGACGTACGGACGGACGGACAACCCGAAAACATAATGCCTCCGGCTACTTCGTAACGGAGGCATAAAAATTCATAACTTTTCTATTTTTTCATCAGATATTGCTCAAACATTCACCAATTTGTTTCTCTCATTTTCTGCTTTTATTGAAACCTACTTTATATGAGGTTGGACTTCCTGTTAAGTGGATATTTTTTTTCAAGTGAGCTTCATTTTTTTGTCAATTCTAAATTATTTTGATTTTATAAACATATTATCAGTTACACAAAAAAAAAAGTAACCTGTAAAAAACCATTAAAATACCAAAAAGAACCATTACATTATCACACACACCCAAACTACTATACCAAAAAGTGATGTGTCAGATGACTTCTTTTTTTTCTTTTTTTTTTTTTTTTTTGGGGGGGGGGGGGGTGTTTATTCCTTCATACATTGCATATTATTTTTCATGATGCATCATTGTGTGGAACAATCATGGCATTTACAATCAAAGTCATTTATTCAAAGCCATTCAGAAAATGCATGGTGAAATGATGAAAGATATTTAAATCCTTAGGCCTAGTTTTGATGTTATTTTCTTAAGTTAAAGAAGAGAATAAATGCAATTGGGTAGTTTAATACTGTTTTCACATTGGCAACATTTTGCTTAACCCCGTACTTTTGGTGGGGTTAAGGGGGGTCTTAGCCCCACCTATAGTACGGGGTTAAGCCTATTCCACTTTCTGTTCAGAATGGCTTTTACCAAAGTGGGCTAAAGTTGGCTAACCCCACCTATAGTACGGGGTTAACTAACCCTGCAAAATAGCAGGGCTAACCCCGCAATTGTGGTGCTAACTCCTGCTAACCCCGCAATTGCGGTGCCAAGCAAATGAATGAGAACAGAAACGAAAAATAGTCTGGTACTACGCAATGGAGCGTATCAATTTTGCTCAAACCTTTTCTGATTGTTTTTTCTGATTTATCTGCTTCTATTGTAAGTAAGTTATTTTTGGAGAGGACTTGCCCTTTAAGACTAACCTACTTAAAACCCTCCACTTTTAACCTTTACCTCTCAACATAGGACAATATAATGCAGAGGTAGAAATCCTACTATCTCATTATTGGGGGAAAAAAGCTTTTAGTGTTTTCTAACCTTATCTTCTGATTTAGAAAGCTAAAATCAGACACAACATGACGCTGAAAGAGCTAAGTTTTGTTGCAGTACAGAATAAGGAATTGTGAAAAAGAATAATTCTAAGTAAATATATATAAAATCTTCAAACTAGCAAATTCAGTCAAATTACAAATAAGATCCCCCTTTTCACACGAAAATTGATATACGCATAATGCTATTTTTCATCTATCTCTTCAAAATATTTATTTATTTACATATATTACATTTGTTTGTTTTTTCAAATAATGCAGTGCTACGAAAAAAAGCTTATTAACATTTTGCTGATTTTGTAAAAGAAATTCTTTTCAATGTTGCCCTTTGGAAAATCATTCCTGGACTGATTAACCAATAACCATGAAAGCAAACTTACCCCATGGTAGCTCTTTAGGTGGTAGAGCATGAATGAATGCCACAGCCACTCTATTAATATCTCTCAGGGTATGAGGCATCTGAAGGAGTCCTGATTGGTAGTCGGGTTCCGGTGGGAATGCATCCCATTCGATACGCCCATTGCTCTCCCTAAATCCTTGAGCTAATCCTACTGTTCCAAGAAGCACTGTACAAACTATCACCAATTCATGTAACCTCAATCGATTGATACAAGTCCCTGGTACAGCCATTTTGAGGGATTCCAAATCAACCAAAGAATTTTTCTTGATGGTTTATTGAAAACCTCTGATGATAATGGATGATGTATTGCCTCTTTTTGCCTCTGCTTTCTAATTTGAAAAATGAAGTACAAAAATATTACATCATAAAAACTCCACTTATCATTCATTTTAAATTCAGTACAAGTTAGATAGTTAATTCGGATAATTAGATCATATGATCTGAACACATTCAATGCAGTACAACAATTTACAATATGAGTATTTATTGACCGGAACACACATACAAAATTCCTATGCATATCTATATTCTGAGCTTTGATGCCGAAAAAATGTGATCATGAACTGCAGGTAGTGACAAATACTAACAATGAAAGTTAAAAGTTACAATGTATAATAATATAAACCCATGTATTTAGTCACATCATCTAATATCAGCTGTCGATCAACAAAACAACGTCATAAAGGCCTATTGATCTTTAACATATTCAGTAAACTTTATGTCATTCAACCTCTCCGGTTTTGACAAGAAAAAGCACTACTGCATGGAAGTAATTCAAAGTTTTCAAAACAACTCAAATCACAGCCCGACCCCAAAGCACAAATCTACAGTAACAGTAGCATGCACACGTCCACACCTCTCAAAAGAAACTCGGGGAACGTGTACGATCACCAAGTCAAGGTGGAGTCTACTCCAACGAATTGACCAACTTCACAGGCTTGCATCAGGATTACTCCAAGTTACAAGTGAAAAGTCTTTTGTATAGTATAAACAACAATACATGTACTTACTCGAGTTTAGATCTTCCTTGCTATCACTTAAACGTTTCACAAATTTACTTACAACCCTCCAAGTTACAGGTACAGCGTCAAGTGTTATGGACCCTTCCCTCTGACAGGCCGCGGTTTTTGTCGTTAGACTTTCCAGTACATATGCGGAGCGGAGATTTTCGGGCACTGCATGGGAGCGCTGTTCCGTACGCGTAAGCATCGGTATGTTACAGCCGCGCTATCTTCTGTCAAAGAGTTTCGCGCGCTATAAGTATATAAACTCTTACTTCCTTGGCTTATTATTAATCTTTATCTTTTCATGATCTGAGGTATTATTTGCTCCGCTTGACCAGATTGTCCTCAACAGACCGTACATTCACGAATATATATCCTGTCTTTACATTATACTCAAGGTTTTTCTAGTATGTAAAAAAACAAAACAATGTTCTTCCTTTTTCTCTCGGGCTGTTCTCACGTTTTCCAACTCGAAATATGCGTCCATAGAATACCACCATCCTTATTCCTCTTTTGTAAAAATCCCCCCCCCCCCCCCCCACTCAGAGGTCGCGGAATGACCGCATGCGTGTTGCTAAAAATGTCCGGTAAAGGGGTACTTTTCGTGCGACAAAGTCCGGCCCGAGAATTGTAAAAAAAAAGGGGTGTATTTGACTTTTCAACCGGAGATTTCTTTAAAAAGGAGTGTTTTTTCTTTTTTTTTTCTTCTCATCTCTTTGGACTCCTGAGAAATTATTCCGAATTTAGGGGGGTACATAGAGCATTTTCCCTAAATAACTCTGAGTGGGGGGCCGCTAGGGCTATATAGGGGTTGTTTGGTGCAGATCCTTCTAAAAGCACCAAATTTGGCCCAGATGTTGCTTATAGGCTCCTATGATCTCTATCTATCCAAACTATATAATTGGGGATCATTTCATGAGATGTTTATGGCCCGGTCCCACAGGCCGATGGACACAAAACGTATGCATAAAGGACACAGCGGACGAGCAAAATTTCGGGGGTGGCTCCATCCGTTTTCATCCGCTCCAGAAATGGACAAAATTTGCGAACATTTGCGAAAACAGAACGGAAAATAACGGACGTGCAGGTAGTATGTAGCAGGGATGTTAAACGGATGTTCATCGGAAGCCTAGCGGATGAAATCGGATGGAAGTGGTCAAGTGGATGAAAGCTTTGAATACTTTATATACGAGATGCATACGCTTACATCCTTTCTATTTCCGTGCTACTAACGATGTATAGACGTTCCATGTACCTTATCTTTCCTCCCTCTTTCCGTTTTCAGCTGCAGCGGATGTAGCCTCTTGTCGATGCCCTCGCGCTGTTGGAGTCTCTAAATTCTGACGAGCGAAGCGAGTCAGAGAAACCGAGGCGCTTGCGCTGAGGGCCTCTTGACAAGTGATCTGAATTATATATTCATGAGACCCGATTTCCTACTGAATTATGCATGTCTAGACCGCAGCGATTGTGTGTGTGTACGTGTGTGTTTGGGATTGCCCAACTAGGCTAGTCTGCAAGCACAGACCCTAATTTGATACTTTATCAAAAAATCATTTTGCCTTGAGAGAAACCTAGCCCAGCTATCTACTGGTACCTACTGGTTGTACCAATATAGGTCAGGAGCAGCTATAGTACGTGGCATATGGTAGTCTTATAGTGCACACTCTCTTTTACGACTGACCAGGGTTTGTGCTTGCAGACTACAACTAGGCGGCCAGTCTCGCTCTCACGGAGGGAATTCGCACAGAGCGGTAGATATTACGTCATAGTAGCTCTCTCTGATTGGATGACTTTCACCGAACTCTGCTGGGTCGGAATATTCGCCAAACAAAGTAAAACATAAGAAATTCAGATCACTTGTCAAGAGGCCCTCCGCGCAAGCGCCTCGGTTTCTCTGACTCGCTTCGCTCGTCAGAATTTAGAGACTCCAACAGCGCGAGGGCATCGACAAGAGGCTACAGCGGATGTGAGTTGCGAGGATACCCAGAGGATGCAGAGAGGATACAGCGGACGTTTAACGGATGATAACGGACATAGAACGTTTGTTGCTCGTATTTGTCGCGGATTCACATCGTACACGGCGGAAGTTCATCCGTTCTAAAAGTTTTGTGCAGCTCAAAACTTTTTGCGCGGATGAAATCACAGTGGACGGATGCTCGATGGATAGAGCGTATGAAACACGTATGCAATGAGTACACAACGGATGCATAGCGTTTTCCAACGGATGGCAAGATTTTTTTACGTTTTACATCCTCTTTGCATCCGTAAGTGCAGTGGGACCGGGCCTTATAAGAACGGGACAAATGGCAAGAGGGGACCCTTGCCAATTGTGAGATTTCAAGTACGGGACAAAAGGCAAGGGAGGATCCTTGCCATTTGTGTCGTCGTTAACATCTCATGAAATGTTCTCTTTTCATCTCTAGAAGGAGTGTATGATCTCTGTCTATCCAAACTATGTAATTGCAGATCATTTCATGAGATGTTAAGAACGGGACAAATGGCAAGGGGGGACCCTTGCCATTTTTGTCGTCCTTAACATCTAATGAAATGATCTCTTTTTATCTCTAAAAGGAGTGTATGATCTCTATCTATCCAAACTATATAATTGCGGATCATTTCATGAGATGTTAAGAACGGGACAAAATTAATGGCAAGGAAGGACCCTTGCCATTTGTTGCGTCCTTAACGTCTCATGAAATAATCTCTTTTCATCTCTAGAAGGAGTGTATGATCTCTGTCTATCTAAACTATGTAATTGCAGATCATTTCATGAGATGTTAAGAACGGGACAAATGGCAAGGCCATTTTTGTCGTCCTTAACATCTCATGAAATAATCTCTTTTTATCTCTAAAAGGAATGTATGATCTCTGTATATCCAAACTATATAATTGCGGATCATTTCATGAGATGTTGATTAACATCTCATGAAATGATCTCTTTTCATCTCTAGAAGGAGTGTATGATCTCTGTCTATCTAAACTATGTAATTGCAGATCATTTCATGAGATGTTAAGAACGGGACAAATGGCAAGGGGGGACCCTTGCCATTTTTGTCGTCCTTAACATCTAATGAAATGATCTCTTTTTATCTCTAAAAGGAGTGTATGATCTCTATCTATCCAAACTATATAATTGCGGATCATTTCATGAGATGTTAAGAACGGGACAAAATTAATGGCAAGGAAGGACCCTTGCCATTTGTTGCGTCCTTAACGTCTCATGAAATAATCTCCTTTCATCTCTAGAAGGAGTGTATGATCTCTGTCTATCTAAACTATGTAATTGCAGATCATTTCATGAGATGTTAAGAACGGGACAAATGGCAAGGCCATTTTTGTCGTCCTTAACATCTCATGAAATAATCTCTTTTTATCTCTAAAAGGAATGTATGATCTCTGTATATCCAAACTATATAATTGCGGATCATTTCATGAGATGTTGATTAACATCTCATGAAATGATCTCTTTTCATCTCTAGAAGGAGTGTATGATCTCTGTCTATCTAAACTATGTAATTGCAGATCATTTCATGAGATGTTAAGAACAGGACAAATGGCAAGTGGGGACCCTAGCCATTTTTGTCGTCCTTAACATCTCATGAAATAATCTCTTTTTATCTCTAAAAGGAGTGTATGATCTCTGTCTATCCAAACTATATAATTGCGGATCATTTCATGAGATGTTAAGAACGGGACAAAGGGCAAAGGAGGACCCTTGCTATTTGTGTCGTCCTTAACATCTCATGAAATGTTCTCTTTTCATCTCTAGAAGAAGTGTATGATCTCTGTCTATCCAAACTATATAATTGCGGATCATTTCATAAGATGTTAAGAACGGGACAAATGGCAAGGGAGGACCCTTGCCATTTTTGTCGTCCTTAACATCTCATGAAATGATCTCTTTTTATCTCTAAAAGGAGTGTATGATCTCTGTCTATCCAAACTATGTAATTGCAGATCATTTCATGAGATGTTAAGAACGTTTTAATGGCAAGAGGGGAACCTTGCCATTTTTGTCGTCCTTAACATCTCATGAAATGATCTCTTTTCATCTCTATAATAGTGTATGATCTCTGTCTATCCAAACTATGTAATTGCAGATCATTTCTTGACATTTTAAAAACGATACAAATGGCAAGAGGGCACCTTTGCCATTTGTGAGGTGTTAAGAACGGGACAAATGGCAAGGGAGGACCCTTGCCATTTTTTGAGTCCTTAACAACTCATAAAATGATCTCTTTTCATCTCTAGAAGGAGTGTATGATCTCTGTCTATCTAAACTATGTAATTGCAGATCATTTCATGAGATGTTAAGAACGGGACAAATGGCAAGGCCATTTTTGTCGTCCTTAACATCTCATGAAATAATCTCTTTTTATCTCTAAAAGGAATGTATGATCTCTGTATATCCAAACTATATAATTGCGGATCATTTCATGAGATGTTGATTAACATCTCATGAAATGATCTCTTTTCATCTCTAGAAGGAGTGTATGATCTCTGTCTATCTAAACTATGTAATTGCAGATCATTTCATGAGATGTTAAGAACAGGACAAATGGCAAGTGGGGACCCTAGCCATTTTTGTCGTCCTTAACATCTCATGAAATAATCTCTTTTTATCTCTAAAAGGAGTGTATGATCTCTGTCTATCCAAACTATATAATTGCGGATCATTTCATGAGATGTTAAGAACGGGACAAATGGCAAGGAAGGACCCTTGCCATTTGTTGCGTCCTTAACGTCTCATGAAATGTTCTCTTTTCATCTCTAGAAGAAGTGTATGATCTCTGTCTATCCAAACTATATAATTGCGGATCATTTCATAAGATGTTAAGAACGGGACAAATGGCAAGGGAGGACCCTTGCCATTTTTGTCGTCCTTAACATCTCATGAAATGTTCTCTTTTCATCTCTAGAAGAAGTGTATGATCTCTGTCTATCCAAACTATATAATTGCGGATCATTTCATAAGATGTTAAGAACGGGACAAATGGCAAGGGAGGACCCTTGCCATTTTTGTCGTCCTTAACATCTCATGAAATGATCTCTTTTTATCTCTAAAAGGAGTGTATGATCTCTGTCTATCCAAACTATGTAATTGCAGATCATTTCATGAGATGTTAAGAACGTTTTAATGGCAAGAGGGGAACCTTGCCATTTTTGTCGTCCTTAACATCTCATGAAATGATCTTTTTTATTTATAAAAGGAGTGTATGATCTCTGTCTATCCAAACTATGTA